TTGTCTAGCCTGCCTTAAATAGCACACTTAGCTTGAAAGAGAATATCCACATGTAAACAATTTGAAAAATCAGTTTCTCACCTTTCACTTCAAGAGGAACAAAGCCACCAATTAAAAATATAATTCTGATTAATTGGACCATCATTGTTTTAATTTCCTTACTCTTACTATGAGCATAATGTCCTTTGATTCAATGTCCCAACAGAAAAAAAGTGGCAGGACTGATTCGGAAAGTAATTTTATTATATACGTACATGACTGTCTATAAAACATTACTAAAATTAAAAAAAATTGTATTAATAAAAATAAAGTATTCACATTCCTAGGAGTTATGAATGATCTTTATGAACCAATAATGTATACAAATTTTCATGAAACTGGAAAGGTGCATGTACACACCTGGAGAAATTATTCTTTAGGTATATGAGTACAAGTACATATTTTATAATTATATGACTATGTAAACGGCAATACACCTATGATGTGTACACGTATATATGTATTTATGTCTCTCACTATTTCCTAGATACAAACAGCTCACCGCAGCTTTGTTTTGCTCAGAATTCTATTTCAATTACGACAGGACAAATCCGTGAGAATGAAAATGTCATTTATTCAATAGTAAATGACGAAAAATTAAGTTTTACAAACAAGGGGGAAATCAGCAAAAAACAAAACAAACATTTTGCACGCACATATAAATATATACATTTTACAAGATATGAACACATACGTTCTGATTTCCCCCATAGAAAAGAGGTCACAAAGAAAACTTTAGTTCTGATTAGATACAACATAAACTTTATAAAAAATTACATACGGCTTACAAAAAGCAAAAGATGGCGACAAATACAAAATACGGCCGATCTTAAAAAAGTGTGACATCAAGAACGAAAAGTTGTAAAACAGCAATTATAAATAAAAAATGGTTTTTACATCATAGACAGACTTCGCTATACAAGTACACTGTATATACTTCTAACATATGAAAAAATCCATGTCTAAGCAAAAATAATAAAAAATAAAATAGGTGGATATGAGAATGGGGAGGTGGTGGGCAATTAAAATCCAAAGGGCTAAAAACGTGTGTCCTCGAATCAATGTTTGGCAATAATAACAAAACCACGTGACTCTTTATTTAATTCTCATTGGATAATGCGCCATCTGCTTGGCTCATATTTCCTGGGGCTCAACACAGGGTTAAATCAACGGGGGTTCCAAAAGGGGGCAACTATTTTTACAGGAAAAGTATCGCCATGTATATATGTATTTCTCTTCACCTCCAATAGAAAAGCCATATGCTGTTTTTGCGGGGTAATCGATAAGACCATGTACTTAATTTTCAGGCACCTGTTCGACCTTTTGCGTAGCTTGCTGGGAGGCTATGCGTCTTTTGGTTCAAAAATGTACGTAAAATATTTTAACAAATCTGTAAAAAGATGTTTTTTAATTAATATTATGCAGTGTATAAATTGTTAGGCTTTTGTTTTTTACACTCGTTTTAACTATGGAAAGTTTCTTGTACTTGATCAACTTACACAGGGTTCATGGCAGATGTGACGGTCAACAGGGGAAGCTCACTCCTCATAGGCACATGATCCCAATTCCGGAATTTCCAGAGGTCTGTGTTTATGCCTTCCTTACAAAATTGTATTGTTTGTTGATTTTTTATGAGATCGATCACCTTTCGTTCTCTTCACATTGTAAAAATATTACCTACTAGTGATGTTTGGCGAATGAGTAAAAAACACGGAATCATTTTCTTCCTTACTTTATGTAACCCCAAACCATGGTCCACTAAACTGCACTCTGTGCAACAATATACAAGTAGATAGTTTCTTTAGAAGTTTTTGTTTAAATGATTGAGCGCTCATGCAATCTTATTATCTGTATGAGAGTTCGAAGGTTACAAAGAAAAAAATAGAAATGGCCAAGTTTGGGGATAGAAACGTGAAAAAAATTATTATTTTGCTTTGCTGGCATTGTTTATGCCGTAGGTTATACACAAAGTATCCGATATACCCAGATACACATCAACACGTTCAGGTCTATTGCTCATTGAATTAGCTCTTATGAAGTGACATGTTTTAACATTGCTCCTTAGACAATCATTCCTTTGGAAACAGTGAACGAATCCATTTTCACTCTGTCGCAATGTTTTCTTTTCTTCAGCGGTTATACATTATAGATACCTTTTATTCAGAAGATAGATCAATTATGTGATACTTAATTAACGTGGGTTCACGTGTTATTGATTTGGTGACCGCGAGAGAATTAAAAAGGTCTTGCTCAGTCAAAGAAACATGACATGTCGACCGAGAATTCCTTGTCGTCGTAAAATAAAGAATATTGTTATTGTCACGTTGATGGTTCCGTGTATATATTATTGGAATATATATATTTACCAACGTAAGTTTACATTTACTTAAAAATTAATATTTTTCTTGAAGAATATTTGAGTTGAATTAAGATCATTATTATTTTAAAGGTAAATAAAAACATGTTTGTAATCTTTAAAATCTCTTCTGTTTTTTTGTTTTGTTTGTTTGTTTTTGAATTAATTGATTTCATTGCTATACCTGGTATTTTTTGCAAGTAATGGTTCGAAATTGGTCAAAATGTAAAAAAAAAATGACCAATAAACCAAGTTATCAGTAAAATATATTTTATCTTGATCTTAATTTTTACCTGAGAATAAAATTAAATGCTGCAGGCAACACCTGAAATTCAGGACTATCATATTTACTAATGCTGGTCTAGATTAGACATCAATCAATATAATACTCGAGAATATACTGTTGCCAGGAAAATGAGTTTTAGAAAATATGTTCTCTAATTGCATTTAAAGTTTTAATGGTTGCTCATGGTTTATTAGGTAAAATGGAATTCCACATTATGAAAACTTAATTTGACTGTCTAATATTATCAAACACATGCTTCTATTTTATTAGACCTTCTTTCTCTCTCTCCTTCAGTAAAAAGTGTACTTTCCATGTTCAAACCGTAAACAGACCTAAAACTATCACCTTTTTCAATGGGTCACGTTTTCTTTTCAAATACCAGTATTATTTTATTTTAATGTCCTTAGCATGTGTTTACTCTTCAAGAATGAAAAATAGGATTTAAGTGTTTCTTTGAATAATTGAAAGTGGATGTTTTCGGCCAATAAATGTTTACTTTATCCATGCATCCTATAGATCGCTATCATGTATTAAATAGCAAAGGAGGACGATTTCTTCTTGTTTACTGAACACCAATTTTTAGACAGATATGTAATTTGGAGGAAGTTTATGTCAATTTTCGCAAAATGATCTAATTGTAGAAAGATACCTTACATATGATGGGAAGTTTTCAATAAAAAAGAATGATTATTTTCCGTTTCTAATACTGTAAATGATTTACACAGCAAACTTAATAAAAATACACTTGGATAACATATCCTAAGTTACACTTTTCATCATTTTATAGATTTTTAAAGATACAGTATCTGAAGGACATTTTAACCAAAAATGACATAAAACCTACGTTTACACATGAATAGTTCCCTTATATGAAAAACATCAAGTTTGTATTGAGTAAATAATAAAAGTGGTACATCTACCTAAACTATGACTAACTGTTGACGAACACCACCCTTCAGCAGAGAAGAAACTTTTGAATAATTTCATTTGAGTATGACTTCATTTGATTACATTTAGATAATTTTAGGTATAGCTCTTCATTTGTAAAATGAAGATAAACATTCATTTTAGTTATATTTTTTCTTAAAATGAGCAGTGTGTCTCAAACTGTGGTAATTCCAAATTCGAGCCTAATACTTATCATTTAAGATTTCATTTTAATATTTGTTTTTAAAAATAAGTTCGTTTTAATTGTTTTTAAAAGTTTTGTTTGTCAAAATTTTATATAATTATCTCATTAATCAGGGCTTTGAATTAAAAACGAAGTACACAGACTGAATTTCATTATTAGAGCAGTTAGGGCAACAAGTATTTTCCACGCCTTGTTCACCAATCTCCTTTCAGATGTGCATAAGGGGGAAAATTAAAAAGAAGTACACTGCTCTATAGTTTTAAAATTTGTAAGCACATTAATTCTATGTTTGACTTTGTCCCTGCGAAACAAATGGTAAATACTTTTCTTGTTCAAACTCCAAGGTGTCCATGACTAGCACCAATCAATGGTTTACAAGTTCCTTTCAAATATTTTTCCACGTTCACATTACTAGTATTTAAAAACTTGGCGTGCTTTTACAAAAAGGAAATGAACACAGAAATCAAATATTACTTTGAATTTTCACACAAAGTCACATGCAAACTTTAGGTAAAGGAAAAAGCATTTAAACCAAAGCATGATTTTTGAAGACTGATGAGTATGAAAGGTATATATAGCAAATAAAAATCGATTTCTCTTTAAATTACGTTACAACGATGACAAACTTTTCCCAAATAAAGAAGAGTAGTTATCTTAACATATTGATGTATTTATAATTATATATATTTTATGATAGATTTTTCTATCAGGGAATGCATTTTCATAGGAAAATTAATACTGAAAAGGATCCAAAATTCGCTTTAATTAACTAACGTGCACTGTAAAAAAGAAAAGAAAAATCGATAGGATCGTTGATTTTACAAACGCAACAAGAAATCTTTTTTTTTTTCCATCAGTATATTGATAGGCGTATATTTAATATCAGCAAGGTTCTTTGTTCCGATTCTCTAATATATGTTCAAGGAAAAAAGAAAGATGAACGTATACACCATTAATTTCTTTAATTATTTTGTAATACTTAAAATAATATTGACTAAATATCGACTAAAGTATTGAATGTACATTCAACTTGGTAAGAGGATAAGGACAATGCAAATTGAGGAAAAGGAAACCTTTTGTCCTTTATCCCCTTGCATAGAAAAAAAAGTATGTTTGCAAGTTGATTTTACTGTATACATGTATTTAAAATGATCACCAACGCAAACATGTGTTTAAAATGATCACCAATGCAAGGCTGCAGTTTTGAAGTGATTGCTTTTTCTCAGGTAATGCCTAGGTCACATTTCCCGGCCGATAGCCGTAGACCGGTGGTAATCGGTGGTAATCAGTGGTGTTAACGATGCTCCAACATCGGTCCACATCGGCCAAGTAGTCCTTAAAGTATCAGTCACATTATCCAGCGATGGGTATACGATGGGCAACCGATGCGTTTTATGATAAAAATGACATGGTTGCCAGCCGGACTTACAAAAGCCTAGCGATGCATGGCTAATCATAAAGCGATGTTCCAGGATAATCGGCCGATGTATATTACATCGCTCTTACATTGGTGAACATCTTTTGTACATCGGTCGACTACAGGCCAATGTTTGGTCGAACATCGACCGATGATCGGCCGTTATCTGTTGAACACCACTCAACCCCCCGATGACCTCAGATTGAACGGAAATTGGACGATGCTCGGCCATACATCGGCCGATCCTTGAAAGACGTGTTAATGATGAGTTGCCGATGAGGAGCGATGAGAGGCATCGTTGGAGACATCGCTGAATTCTAACTACGAATTATTTCCTACCGATGACCCCACCGATTCGCAAAATGGCCTCAGTCACCGTCCGATCACTAGTAGTGCCTGCCCGGCAACCATGTCATTTTCATCAAAATACGCATCGGTTTCTCATCGTATACCCCATCGCTGGATAATGTGACTGATACTTAAGGTTGTCAAGGGACTGAGCTTTGTTGAAGCGGTTATAGAACCCGAGGGAATCACGCTGTCTTGTAGATTGAGGTACAGATCCAACACATAAAAAAACATAATAAACATAATAAAATGCTCTTGCACATATTCTGCAATTTATATTAAAATCGATTTCTTTATCTCAGCCCAACAGAGTATTTCAAATCATCTAACGGAGAGCCACACAGTTTTTCGTACTTCAAATCGAGAGGAATATCATAATAATAAAAAAGGTAATTATCAGTCTACATGTTAAGTGATATCATTGTTAAACTTTGTTTATTTTTTGGTATGGATTTGTTTATTTTACATAACCCGGCTAAAATTGCTTTATTTAGGCCTATACTTTCCTGGTATTTTCATCTGTAGGACATTTCTCATATTAAACTCTCTCTCTCTCTCTCTCTGTTTCTAATTTAAGAACCCTTCTGAATCACTTTGACCCTTTTTGTTTTCTTTTTTTTTCTTTTTTTTTTTTACTTTTTACACGTTTTATATGTACAATAAGACAATTTCGATCATATAGGAGAAAAGAAAAACGATTCGATGTCAAGTGCCTACGATACAACACAATGCTTTTCGAATTTTTCAGTTGAACTATTTCTAAATGCCAGAGGAATTTATTTTCAGAATCGATAGTAAATCCATTTTCATTCCCAATAGCAAGGAAAAGGAATATTCCTCTTACTTTGATTGTGTCTATGATGAGGAGTGGATCCACCTTCACAGGTGACGTGTTTCGATCCCATCCCAACTCCTTCTATCTGTTTGAACCGATGCAGTATCTATCACAGAATGTTGGAAAAAACGAAATTGTTTTTGTGAATGGCACTGTAAGGTAATCGGAAAATTATCTTTTAAAAGAGATTATTGATTGTTTGTGCAATATATGCTACAATACACGTAGATTTGATTTTTTTTCAAGTTATGTCACTCGTAAAATACTCACTTAGTAAATATTGCGAATGCTAGCTTTAATGATATCATTATGAAATTCAAACCCTGCTATGAAAGAAATGTTTAAAAGTAATTTTTTCTGTTGAATTTTAACGTTATATAGGTCCTATAATGAAAGCCAGTTGCACGACATCCATGCTGAAATGATCATCAATCTTCTTCTGTGCCGCTTTGAAGATGTTCCTTTCCAGCTCTTTAAGACTAGTCACTTCCTTTACCATAACCGCCTCAAGCAGCATTACAGTTGTGCACAACGTATTAAAGATAGCGTTACTGCCATGAGGAAAAAGTGTATTCCAAATCTCACCAGGAGGTGTAAAAAAGCCAATTCATTCACTATGAAGTTGATAACAGTGAGAATGAAGGCCATCTCAAAGGTAATGCAGCTTCTTCCAGAGGTCCATGTCATTCAGTTGGTAAGAGATCCTAGGCCAGTCTTGCTTTCTCAAATTAATGTTGGCCAAATTGATAACACGAACATTGAAAATGAAAGTAGCTCCCATTGCGAGATCCTTAAAAATGATATAAAGGAGACTGAATCGGATATTTATAGGAACAATTTTCACCGACAGAGGTATGAGGATCTTGCACACGATCCCATTGGACAATTTCAGGGTTTGTTTGAGTTTTCTGGATTAGAATTCAATGACGCAGTACAGTCCAGAATTCGAAAAATAGCAATGAGGACAGGAAAGGTGAAAAAATGTCAGTATTGTTCGGATAAAGGTAACGCAATGGAGGCTTCTGTTCAATGGAGAATTTCAGCAAACTATTCTATTGTTCATGCAATCCAAGAACAGTGCTTAAGTATTATAGATAGACTGGGATACCTCTCGGTGAATTCTGCAACGGACCTGCATGACAAGAAGACTTCACTAACGAAATGGTAGAGAGAGAGAGAGAGAGAGAGAGAGAGAGAGAGAGAGAGAGAGAGAGAGAGAGAGAGAGAGAGAGAGAGAGAGAGCACCAGAAGTAGAAAGAGTGCTCTTTATAATAAATACTTAAGTCTTTCATGCACTTTAATTTGTTCAATATTAGTTTTTTTTTTTTTTTTTATACAGAATATTAACTTATTTTAATTGATAGATTTGTAGAAGTTTAAGCATCGTTTCATTTTTGTAGAGAAGAAAGAATAAAATGTTGGCTTTTTAATTGACTTGACATCAAATGATAAAAATCATTGATTGAGTCCGAAAAAAAAAAAGATTTTCAAACCTTTAAAAAATGAAAATTGAAGGCTGATTCAATCAACAAATGCATAAGAAAAACATTTGGTTACTAAGTGTTTAGGCAGCTATCAAAGTGAAAGAAAAATGAAAATGAAAAATAAGATCTTCAGTTATTTTGAAGTCATAACAAAAAGTAAGAAAATCAAATTGATCGCTTACAAAGGACATGACATGCCTTAATTGTTTGTAATTAAAATTACAATTAGAGTTTATATGAAAAATAAACGAAAAAGAATTCTTACATGTGTTTTATCAGGCATATATTAGATATGCTATAAACGCTCTGAAATCACTTAATAAATCAAAACTCAATTGCCAGTTTACCAGTTTATTAACATCTCTTTGGTTGTTATTTAACAACACAGAGATCAATACATATTATCAAAACATATATACATACATGCCTGAACATAACATATAACATATATACAAAGTGTGCTTATAATCAAGTATTTCCATATATGTTTACATTGATGTTAACCTGGAGTTTTGACTCTCTCGTTTAAAATTTTAATAAAAGAACAGAGTTTACTCAATAGTCCAACATTTTTTGAAGAAAACAATTCATTAAATTTGATAATATTTGGTCTTGTAAAATAATATTTCGGAATGTACAATTTTCTTTCATCTTTTAATTTTTCACAACATAAAATATAGTGGAATTCATCACAGAGATCATTTTTACATAAAAGACATATTCTATTAATTCTTTCAGTACCTTCCCATCTTCCTGTTTCAATGGGTAATTTATGGTTTGCTGTTCTAAATCTAGCTAAAATTTGTTTCTTAATTATTTAACCTGCTATCTACATAAAATTGACATCCAAAGTGTAAATTTGTAAATAGATAATATGTCACACCTTTTGAAGAATCTTTACAGGTTGAATTCAAATTTTGTTGAAACTGATCTAGTAATTTTTGTTTCAAACTTTTAATAAGCCAATTTCTATTAAATAATTGATTCTGGTTCCAAATATTACTATATCCACAATTGTCTAAAATTGATTTCAAATTCTTTAACCATTTAGATTCATGTCCATTATCAAATTTTGCACGAAGTAATTTATACATTAAAAAACAATATTTTGATTGTTTTCCATATAAAATTTTTGACCAGTATGCAATAATTCTTGTTTTGATATGTATACTTAAAGGTACTCTACCTAATTCACCACAGATCATAAAATTTGGAGTACTTGGTTTTAAGTGAAAAAGCATTTTACAAAATTTTAAATGTACTCTTTCTATCATTTCAACATTACCATATCCCCACACTTCACAACCATACAATAAAATTGGAATTACAATCTTGTCGAACAAATACAATTGGTCATAAAGAGAAAGATGTAATTGGTTACCCTTTTTCAAAATACCATACATAGCTTTCGTTGCTCTTTCAGTAGCATATTGTTTTGTCTTAATAAATGAGCCTGTTGTTGAGAATGTAATTCCTAGATATTTGAAATGTTTAACAATTTCAATTTCTTTGTTATTGTAATAAAAAACTTTATGCGGTATACGTCCCTTTGAAAAAATCATTATTTTTGTTTTTTCTATATTAACTTCTAGCTTCCATTTTTCACAATACAATAAAAAACTGTGCAATTGATTCTGTAAATCTTCGGGTGATTCCGATAGTAAAACTGTATCATCTGCATACAAAATAATCAGCATTTTTAACAAAACACCAAGTTCTTTTTCAATCTCATTTGATATTGTTGAGACACCAATATTGTTAAGTGCAATTAAAAAAGATTCTACATCATTCAGGAATAAAGCAAATAAAAAGGGTGATAAGTTTTCCCCTTGTCGTACCCCTATTTTGCATGGAAAATATTCAGTAACCATATCATTAACAGCTATTCTGGATTTACTTTCAGAGTACATTTTCACTATAACTTCAAAACATTTTCTGGTAATATCATTTTGAATGAGTTTTTGCCATAGTCCTATTCTCCATACATTGTCAAAAGCAGCCTTAAAATCTATAAATGCACAATATAGTTTCTTTTTCAATAAAAAGGATAATTCGATTAGCGATTGTAAAGTAAAAATGTTATCTATTGTAGAATAATTTGATCTGAAACCCCCTTGATTTTCATTTAGTATATCATATTGCTCAGCATAATTATCTAATCGTTTAGCTAAGATGGATGTGAATAATTTACCCATGCAACTTAATAAAGTTATACGCAGTTGAAATCATTCGGTAAATCCCCCAAAGTTGCCGAAATGTAGAGAAACAATATTAATAATTTTTTAGAGTGTTCTTTATCATTTTACAACTATAGTTTGCTAAACATATTATAATTATAATAGCGACTTAAATATCCTTTTATCACTTATTTTGAAATCTAAAATTCCTAAATTTAGAAAACCAAGGTCTTTCCACCCGGGTCACTCTGAAGGTGATGGACCAAACAAGAAAAAGAATACCTTGCCACTTTGTCAGAATGAATTGTAATTATCTGAGCATACGACGACCTCAATTTTTAAATCGTCAACTTCTCTTATTATGTAGCAATATACTTTATTACCATCATATAGGGTAACATATGGAGATAAAACTGTATTCAAGATCCGAAGTCCACTAAACAATTAAGATCAAGGGCAGAGCAAACACTGACCGTTAAAACACCAGTTCGATTATTAATTAATAAAGGAGTCAGCATCCCCTGCAGACCGGTCACACCCGCCATTGTGCTCCTTATCATGATCCGAAATCCAGTTAGTATGAAAAATGTCAGTCAGTATTTGACTTTATGGTATTCTTGTTTCATCAACTTTGGTTTTTGTCTTTCAGCTGATCGAGCATTCGATCCACAAAAGCATTAAGAGGTCAGTGCTTACTCTGCTCCTGATTTGATATCTTTGAATGGACCTTTGAGCTTGATTACTATTCGCTATCCTTCACCTTTGGCTATTTATAGATGGATGTCCTTTAGAAACATAAGAAACCTAGAACTCACTTCTTATCTAGAAAAAATATAATATGCAACGTCACGAAAATATTTAAGGAATGGTTTTAAGTATTGCCGTAGTAGAAAAACACAGCGAATGTAAATATTTATTAATAGTTATCCAAAATATATACTTTAACTGCAAATTAATCAAATTCACGTAAGATTGATATGACATTCATAATTAACTTGTTTTCACCAATGACAGTGGAAATGGAAGTTCTGCAGCCATAGATATTGGTACTATACACTTTGAAACTTAAAATGAATTTAGAAAAGGGATGGATGGTGGTGCAATAGAGCAGAGTACTCCCCCTCCCTTGTTTATGCTAGCCTGCACAAGAAATAAATCATCATCTTGATTATTTTGATATATACATTTAAATCCCCTCCCTCTACAAAAATTAATACTTAATCTTTTTAATCAATATTTATAAATTAATAATTCTTTTACGAATATCTTTAACACTATCTATTCCTCGAATCATGTCGGCCGCTTTTTCTGCTATCATTATGGTTGGAGCATTTGTGTTTCCAGAGGTAACATGACGCATGACGGATGCATCGACTACACGAAGATTCTGTATACCTTTAACCCTGTTAAAATGAAAATAAATAACTGTAATGACAATAGAAATTACAAAGAAACTCCTCTTTTTCCATAATTTAAATAATTTACGATATTTATATTGCTCATTAGTAATCCATATAACGATTTTCAGATTGTTGAACTATATAATATATATTCTGAATATATCTAAGTTTATTTTTGCGAGTATTACATGTACCCTAATTATGTTCTTGAGTTACATGTATATTCATTCTTTCGAGTTCAATTTAACTCAGACTTCAATTCAGTTCATATAAGATTGATAGACAACGAATCTGAAATTTTTAAAATAAATCTTTATTTTTCACAATTAAACAAAATATTATTTTTTTTTAAAGGTAAATAAAATTTTAAACCTGAGTTGTGGATCAACAACAGCCGTATGATCATCCAATGCCCCAATTCTACATGTAGACGTTGGATGCCAGAGGTTGAACGCATAGTGCTTGATTCTACAGACCCAGTACTCCTCTGAAGGGTATGGAAGCTCGTTACATGGAGGATAATACTCCTCATAGGGGTCTGATGGTGACGCACCAATTGATCTGAATGATTCTGTGTTGGCTAGCTTCATAAATTGTTGCACTCCTAAATTATATAAATGATTTGCAGATATGACCTGTCGGCAGGGAATGCTTCCATGGTACCTGATATCACCTCTATACTACATATTATAAAGTAGTAAATTATTAAAAATATAATAAATAGCCAACAATTAAGACGTTCATATTTACCTTTTAGCAATGTCCTCATATCATCAGGATGATCCAAGTACTTTGGGTCTATGAGTGGTGGATCAAAGGGATCAGTACTATGAAGTCGAACGGTTCCCCTACTCTTTGGATGGAGAAGTATATTTGCGGTGAAGAAGCTCCCTCCATTGCTTATGAAGTCCGCGTATGCTTTATACACACCCTCGGTGATCTTCAATATTTTTTAATTGAAAACATGACATAACAGAAATCACTTTTTTATTTTAAAAGTATACAGTCCTCGATTTGATCAGTCTTTGATTAGTTTTAATTAGTAATGCGAAAATTATTATCAAAATTTACTTTCAAAGTTACATATGTATCATAAAGCACAAATAA